ATAATATTTTTTAAATATTATCAAAATAATATTTTTGTAATATTTCAATAATGTTATTAAGTTTTATTAATTTTATAAAATAATTAATTTTAATACAAATGTTGTTATAAATTTATGTATCTTAAATGCTTACAATTTTATTTAAAAAGTTAAAAATATTCTTAATTAGTCATTATTAATTATAAATCAAATATCAAAGTTTATTTATCTTAAATATAATTATATAACTATATGATTATAGTAATTTATTTATTTGATGCAAGATTTTAATTATGAAAAACAATTAAAGATGAAAGAAGTATATTTTTTATGTAATATTTTTTTATTTGATATAAAAATTTTGATTATAAAAAAGAATTAAAGATGAGAGAATACAAAAAAAAAATATTTATTTATAATAATATTTTAAAAAAAGTTACAAAATAACTTATGTAACATTTTTTATTTAATAAGAAACTTTAATTTTGAAAACAATTAAAAATAATAATATTAAAATAAAACTATTATTCTATTTATAATAACTTTTTAAAAAAAAATTATAAAATAATTTATTTACCTAATATATAATATTTGAATAAACATAAATAAAAAATGTTAAATTAAAATATAATACTAAACCCCAAAATATTGAGCATACCATGGGCACATGGTGGTATATGTAGCAAAACCACACCACACACCTCCAAAAACCGCTATGCCTATATGTTCAGTATTTGGTCGGTGTTGCAATGCAAGTTTCATGTCCTAGCTACGTCACCAAACAGCACAAAGCACCTAGTTATGACACCTTCACTACCAGTTCAGTTACAAAAATAAAGCTATTAGCAACTGGAACTACCACCTGTCTCCACTCACCATTCACCACCAAACCTCCACCGACCGAATTCATCGCCCCTTTAGACCACTTGTTCTTGCAGTTGCAGCAAACCTTGAGATATTGATGCACACATTTTAACTAAAACCAATAATAGCTTGCTTCAATGTAATTATTAATGTCATTAATTAAGTACATCAATGTTTTGTAAGTATTTAATATGTTTATCACTTTTAAAAATAGCAAATTAGTTTGCCATATCACACCAGTATTGTTTATGATGCTGCCAGACAAGATGTACTTTTGCATATTGGAGGAGATATGAGTGAATATACAAATCATATACATCTATATCTATATATGTATAATGTCCAAAACTTTTTTTATTTTGCCAAAATTTATCAACTTCGCTGAGATGTCATTGCCTCATACATTTTTAACACATGGAAACACACCCTTTCACGCAAACACTGTCTCTTGAGATTACCAACTAGCTTCCATCCTCTCCCCAATCTAAATAAAAGAAAAGTAAAATAATATATATTATTAAGCGGGGTGGGGGAGGGAGCGGGGGCGGGGTGGGTATTAACATCCCCGTCCTTGCCCCCGATTTTATCAATCGGGGAAAACCCGAACTCGAACCCGATAAATACGGGTTTTTTTCATCCAAATCGGGGCGGGTTCGAGCCGGTACCCACGAGGGCGGGTTGGATTGTCATGCCTACCAACGGGTATTGGGGGTGGGGGCGGGGGCGGGGAACGAAAAACCTGCCCCTGCCCCGCCCCGTTGCCATGCCTAACTTTGAATCTAATAGTTAAATTTACAAAATTCTCATTTAATATAAAGTTATTGAATGGTATAATACTCTAACGGTAGAATTTATAAAATTCACATTTAATATAAGTTACAGATATTTCTTATAAATTTTGCTACAATTTTAATAATCATAGAAATTTTTTTCCATGGTAAAAATTTGTAGAAAATATTGTAAGAATTTTATTTTGTTTCTTCCAGATTTTCTTGCAAAAATAAAATAAAAAATTTAAATTTGTAAGCTTAATATTTTAAAAAAAACTTCAAGTCCCACATCGATTGAAAATAAAACAATTAAAGAGTATATAAGTTGGGGCAACACTTATCTTCCAAGTTGATTTGTATGGTTGAGTGTTAGGTTTATAATCTACAATCTTAGAATTTAAAAGATTATGTATCACATGTTGGAGGCATGGAAACAAATGCTTTAGATGAATTCATTGTGAGCATTTGAAAATTGAAAAATTATTGATAGAATTTATAATAATTTTTTAATTTTTTTCGTAAAAAATATTATTGCAAAATTTCTTGCGAAAAAATTCGCAGGAAACTTTCCTGCGAATTTTCCTGCGAATTTATTTTGTAGGAAACTTTCTTGAAATTTTTTTTTGCAGGAAACTTTCTTGCGAATTTTTTTCGCAACAAATTTCGCAAGAAAATTTCATGCGAATTTTAAAATTCGCAAAAATATATTATCCACGAAAGTATTACCTACAGATAAAATTTCGTAGAAAAATTTGCAGGTACAATGTTTCCTGCGGATTTTTATGAAAAATTCAGAGGAAATGTCGCATGTAATAAGAGAAATTCTAGTAGTGTGAGTCCTTTTTTTCTAAATTTTTTGAACCTTTTCAAATTCAAATTTTTTCTATTAATTGAAAAATAAATTTATTAACATTTAATAAATTAAGTTAAGTCAATTAAATACAAATAATTTTTCATAGAAATTTTGAAATATCATAGAAAAATGCATAATAATGAAATGATGGTTAATTTTTTTTTTAATATAACTGTAAATTCAAATTCAAATTTAGAATGAATTTATCTATATCTATCTATAAATTATTAAAGGTAGAACAATTTTTTTAAAAAAATTTCCCGCTCAAAAATACTCAACACCACTCATTTTTTTCTAAATTTTTTTAGTGGAAATTTTTTAAAAAACTATTTTACGTTTAATAATTTATATAGATAAATATCATATGGATATACACTACTAGAATTTCACTTATTACATGCGACTTTTCTTGCGAATTTTTCATAAAAATTCGTAGGAAACGTTGTTCCTGCAAATTTTTCTGCGAAATTTTATCTACAAGTAATACCTTCGTGGATAAAACTTTTTTGCGAATTTTAAAATTCGCAGGAAATTTTCCTGCAAAATTTCTTGCAAAAAAAATTCGCAAGAAAGTTTCCTGCAAAAAAAAAAATTTGCAAGAAAGTTTCTTGCGAATTTTTCGCAAGAAATTTTGCAGGAATATTTTTTACGAAAAAAATAAAGAAATTACTATAAATTCTATCAATAATTTTTCAACTTTCAAATGCTCACAATAAATTCATTCAAAGCATTTGTTTCCATGCCTCCAACATGTGATACATAATATTCTAAGATTGTAGATTATAAGTCTAACACTCAACCAAACAAATCAATTTGTAAGTACTTTATTTTCAATCAATGTGGGACTTGAAATTTTTTTAAAATATTAAACTTATAAATTTAAATATTTTTTTATTTTTCTTGCGGATTAAAATTTGCAAGAAAATCCGCATGAAAAGTTACCTACAAAATTTTTCTACCATTTAGTAAACATTACTTGCAAATTTATTTTTGCAAGAAAATCTGCAATAAATAAAATAAAATTCTTACAATATTTTCTGCAAATTTTTACCATAGAAAAAAATTTCTATGATTATTAAAATTGTAGCAAAATTTGTAAGAAATATCTGTAAATTATTTTTTGCAAATAAATTCGTAAAATATTTTTGCGAATATTTTTTTGCAGGAAAATTTGTAAAAAATTTATACAAAGATTTTTTTGTAAGAAAATTCGCAAAAAAATTTTACGAATATTTTTTTGCAGGAAAATTTGCAAGAAAATAACACTTTTCTAGTAGTAATATAGATATGGATATGGATATAGATATCGATAAGATATGATACGATGAATTTTATTTTGTTTGACTTTTTTTTTCTCCTATATTTTTCTAATGATGCTAAAAACATTGTTATATGATCTTTACAAAATTTTCTTCATTCTCAATCCTTTTCAAATTCACCTTTCGTATCATGCTCTATTCACTTGTCAATTTTTTTCTTTTTTCAATTGCACTAGATAATTGCTGCAAGACTTTTACAAAAAAAAATTCACCGTCAATTCCTTTTAGATTTACCTTCCATATCACTTCTTTATTCACCAATTAATTTTTTGATTATTTATATTTACACTTTATTGTCATACCTTAAATAAAAATTGCTAATTCACTTTTATTGTGTGTTTTTAAAAAGGAGGATGAAAACTTGTTATAAGAAACTATTGGGTATAATTATGAAAAATTTGTTGTTGGAAAGGTCTTAAGAAAATTATAAAAATAATTACTACGTAATTTGATAAAACACTAACAG